GGGAGCCAGGCGGGGCAGAGTTTGAGGCACTAAAGTGTAGATTTAAAGAAAACCGATGGATTTAAGAAGAAAAAAAAGACAACGGATATAACTAATATCCCCAAAAGATCCGACCTTTATGAAAGCTGTAGGTTCTCTGTCAGCTGAGCTCGCGCTGTTTTAGTTTACATTGAGTTCTATGGGGAACATTTCTGGGTAGCCCACGTGAATTTAGTCTGGTTTAGTCTGCAGTACCGCGAGTATCCCCTGAGCACATGGGTTCTTCAGCTCCAAGCTAGTAATACCCTACCCAGGGTAATGATGTTAGATCCATGGCTCAAACAATTAAAATCATACATATTTCTGCAAAGATATTTTGGCCATAAATTCATTATTTATAATTGTTAATAGATAGTCAGGCAAAATATGTATTTTTTGTGAAGTAAACACTTTTTCCATGTATTTGAGCAGTAGTATCTGCAGACATTTTTGAATGTCCATCCATCCATCCATTTTCTTCCCCTTAATCCATTTCTGGGTTGGGGGGGTGGCAGTCAGAGTTGCACCCATGCAGTACACAGAGCACCAGCCCCTCACTGATCCTCCTGCAGGTGGTGAGTCCACAGGAGCTGAGATCTTTCAGCGGGGGCTTCGATGTTTGAATGTTTGTGAGGATTTTTGAGTGTCGTGCACAGCTGTTCCAATGTACTGTGTATGGCAAATAGATAATACAATATTCTAAAACTACATGTCCATAAAATCATTTTATTGACGAACACTGACATGTGAATCTACTGCATGCATAACAGGCAGACTCTTTAGTGTGAGCTGAAACTCTGGCCAGTGGCCAAAGTCCTCACCTACTCTCTGCATGTGGGTTCATCTGAGGACTTCATGGAAGCTGCGTTAAAGCTGCCATAGTGGATAATATTAATGACATGAATTAAATATCTGGGTCCTGGTCAGCGCTGACCGTGCAGGATGCCCGGTGCACGCATGTGAAGAGGAACAACATTCAGTCAGCAGCCACATGGACTGGAGATTTCTTATCATTTGGAGCCACGGGGAGGACACTCAAGAAACACAATTATTTCTTATAGTGGAGGCAGCAACTTCTCTGCTTGCTGCACCAAAACAACAAAAATAGCTGCGCATATGCCGGCAATGAATTCTCCTGGACTTGCAATAGTCCTAATTTCTGTCACAATAGTCGCTTTTGCATTGCTGTGCTTTTTTCCACAAAAGCTATGCATTTTCCTTGCTGTTTATATTTGAGCTATCAGCTGGAGAAATGCTCACCGCCCTGTATCATCACAAAAAAAGCCATTTCTACAACTATGTAAACTCATCCATATACACAATATTCCTGTTTGTTTTCTGGTATCTCCATCCCATTTTTTCCCTCATGGGCTTAATAGAGGAGTGATAGTTATTTCAGTATACTAAGACTTCATAATTTCATATCCATTTTGAGTGCAGGTTTGTACTCAGTATGGATATGAATTTGCCATAAAAATGTAATGTCAACAAGAGTAACATCATGTTTGCTCGGAGAAAGGAGGTCCAAAGTGTCCTTGCCTAACTTTCTATCGTAACCCACTGAGCCTAACAGAGGTCTGCAAATATCGGGGACATTTACAGACGCCAAATGCTTTATGGACAAGATAAGACATGTTAGGAAGTTTGGCGTTTGCTCACCAGCAGTAAAAACAGCACTTTTTAAAGCAAACTATACCCCATGTACTGCCTACTTATGAAGACCCTATATAAAGAAAAGCGTGCACAGACTGAATGTGGCTGTTAATGATGGCATGAGGATGATGCTTAGGGTCCCGCAATGAAGCAGCACGAGCCAAATGTTTGTCAATGTGGGCGTCCCCACCTGTCCCACAGTGCTACACAGGGTCATGTGGACCCAAGGTCATTATCATCATGACTCTGGCTGATCTGGCACTAAATATGTGGACTCACTGGTGTCGGAGCCAAGTCTGAAATCTTTGTTTTTGTATATTTCTTTGTCTTTTTATTGTCTGATAATAAATCCTAATACTAATAATATAAGACACGATTGGATATGAAATGTGTGTAATACCTATAGAAGATAATGTAAGAAACTAGCATATTCAGCCGCTGAAATCCAGCTGTGGTTCATTCTGCTTCCACCTGGCAAACAGACCTCAAGGCTTTCCCTCACTGCTGTCAGTAAACTAAACAACTAATCATTTTTTCCTTTCTCCACAAATCTGTGCGTAAAACAATACAGGTTTCAGATGCACGCAAAGATGGGCAAAGCAGAGAGCAGGCTGGTAGTTTGGATCAAACCCAAGCCGCTGTATGTAGCCTGAGGACATATCTGTTGAACAGACGGATGGATCTGAGTAGATCAGAGACAGGCAGCGAGCAAAGAGGGAAATTTATCTGACCAGAGCTGAGGAACCTGGACCAGGATCACACAAGAAGACACATGGATCAGAGGAGGGCTGCTGTCCACATTTCTCCATAAAGTATTTTATAGTCTGGTCCAAATATAGTTTTCAAAATTATTTATAGAAAGGTTATGAAGGGATTTCCACTGTAAAATAGCATGATGTTCTGAATTAATATTAGGATTGTATTTTCATGTTTAACTATGAGCAATTGAAACATTACAATTGCATCAATAAAATAGAACAGAAATGATTGTACATTACTCAGATGACATGTGTTTCTCTGCTCTTTCCATACAGACAGACAACATATTGGTTTTCTGTTTATCCATTGATTTTACAAACCCTACAAGAGTGTTCCAGAAAAAACAAACCTTAACCACTTCTACCATATGTGTCAAAGTCTGCTCATCTGTTTTCATGAAAAAGCAGATCTTGTAGATGAAATTATGTTCTAAAATCAATGACATTGTGTTTGTGTAACGATCTACACCTTTATACCGAACACGTCTCAAGTCATTTCTGGCATGCATGTTGAACCCATCCTAACAGGAACAGGATGAGAAATAATACTTTTCAATCAATGAATGAAAACAAGATCCACACTTCATGATCAAAGATGTTTCAGCTCTGTTTTCCAAATGTTTGAAGTGACTGGCTCTCTGTCAACCTTAAGGAGGCTCTCCAAACTCGGAAGTAAAAACCAGGAGAGTATGTTTCTGAAACGATGTGCATGTTGTGCGTGTCCATGTGGTCCAAACACACGCATACGCATCCAATTGAAAACTTCCGAGGGCGGGGAGTGGACAGGCCGTAAGTAGTTTGGCCAATGGAGGGCCTTCCTAACAGATGAAAGCCTATGAAGAATACACAGAAGCTCAGAGATGTCGAGAGAAACAAGTTTATGCTTATTGGTTCATGAAAATACCACCACAAGGGCAACAATAATAATGGGGAAATTAATGTAGATTGGAGAGCATCTATCAACAAATTACAGCAACAGCACTTTCTCTACAAAATATATCAAAACAAATCCTATTAGAGATGGAGCCTTGTGTTACCGAGACGCCCGGGGATACAAATGATAGACTATTTACCAAGTGCAATGTGCATATTTCAGGCATCAGCAAAAGGAGTGTGTCCTCTTTATTCTTTTGGGATGAATACAATACTATTATCTTTTATCTATTTGGCCAATATAGCATTTAAGATACTTATTTTATTGATCTCAAGTGCCACAAATGTATCTCAAAAAATGCACTGGACTTTGGTATCAAGATCAAATGAATAGGCATTTACCTGTTTTTTAAGCCGGGACTAAATGCAGGGGAAAAGGTTGGCGAGTTGTTTGGAAACTCGTGTCCAGGACATTCTTTGATCTTTGAATCATGAGGAGGATCTAAGGACAGTGGTGATGATCGAAGACATTCACATTTATGGTCATTAGTCATCTGGCCCTTAGGGACCAATGGCTCTATGTGTTTTTCTATCATTCAATTTCCTGTGTTTGAACTGTTTCATTCTTTGTTCTGTGTTGGTGAATTTACAGTCCACCAAGACAAACATGAATTGAATTGAATTGATCTCAATGGAATATTCCTGGTTGAATAAATGTTAAATAAAAATAAAATGTGTCAAAATAGGAAGAGAAAACGGGTGCGTCTCGAGGAAAACTCAATTTCAAAAGAAACTTCTGATCTTCAAAAATAAGTCCCCTTCAAAATAAGTCCCAAAATCAGATGGATTAGCAGGATAAATCTAAGCGGCTATGTTTATCATCCACGTGGTGCTATAAACACACTTCCCAACACAGTACTAAATCTTTGCTAAGGGTGAAAATGCCACTTAATAGTATAATTCTTTTTTTCTGACTTCCCTCTTAAAGTCCAAGCATGTCCACTGGCCACTGCAGCTTCGTACATTTCGGGGCCGGAGCGTGCCAGGAGTGCCTGCTGTTCTTAATATCCTTCAGGGCAATCTGTTCGCAGTAAGAGGACAAGCCAGCGACCATCTCCTTCACTCTGCACATCTATCTGCTTTGAAAAACTTTAGAATGAAAAGGAAAGGATTCATGAAAATGAACAGGAAATGGCTGGCAAGGTTTACCAGAACACAGTTCCAAAAGGATGAGAAGATTTGGCAGATGTTGGAAGCACACATAAACAAATTTGGAGACCATTTTTTTGAAAAGGAGTTACTTGAAAAAAGGAAAGAGGAGTAGACATTTGCAAAGGGAAATGGACTAAACAAGGACAGCATCCAAAGCAAATAATCAAACAACAGACTTGTGGGGTAAAGATGAGGACCATTTGTGAAATAAGTAAATCTGAGCTACATGAAGGGAGTGAGCAGAAGGTTGTGACATGATCGGAAAGGGGAGTGAACGGAACAGCAAGGACACTGATAAACAGGAGACACAAACATGTCTGCTCTTGGCCTGCACGCCATATTTGGTGATGGGTCCAGTTGACTTGGAGCTCCAAGTACACTCATAAACTATGTCTAGCCGAGTTAGGCCAAAACCCTTAATATGGGAGGTCTGGATGAGTCAACAGTCCCACGACAATGTTGATTCGTAAATGCATAAGTACTTACCTCTCAAGTGGTCTTAGTGCGGGTCTTCTTGAATCTGCATAAGAAAAACAAAACAGTAAGATATCAGAAAAATAAATTGACAAAACAGGAACATTCTAATTTTATTTTCAGTTTACAACTCTTTACACTCAACACTTATTATAAGGGGGAACATCTCTGGACAGGCAAAGATCAAACGCCAAATTGTTCATGGTAAATACTCTGGTTTAGCTGGTGTCTTTGGATAGACTATAGAATGACCATTATTGGATCTTAACAATTTCCCTTACTCATCTAAAGAAATTGTCACTAATATATGTTATCAATTGGCTACAGTTATTTGGCCAATTGAGTAAATTATTACTTACTATTACTCATTACTACATTTTTACTTTAATAATTATATACTTTTTTTACTTTGACTTGAAAAGAATGAAGAGCCTATTTATGAACTAAAGTTAGGCATTTTTCAACTATAGCAGAATGCTTTGTCCTGCAAAGCATCATAGTCATCCAGATTGATTTAAAGGGAGTTCGATTTCAAAAAGAACCACTATTTTCCTTTGTTTGTTGTCTTGAAGCAGAGTTCACCACATGATTATGTGACAACCTTTGTTTGACACTAGCCAAAAGTCTCTGAAATAAGGCTGCTTTGTGTAAATAAAGACAAATCGTCAATAAATCCAGCTTTCATACTCAGTTCACTCTCCCTGGGGCCATGTTTTATCCTTTATTGTCCTCAGAGCTCTGTAAGCTCTTTTCTCTAAGCACCAAAGTGAAGACTGAAGAGATGTGACAACATAAAGCCTTTTCTCCCTCCCCTGCTCACTGGCTATGGAAAAGTAATTTTGATTTTATTATAACGCTGAAGTTGATGTTACAGTGTTTAAAATTAAATTGCATTTTACCTTCAAATACAGTGATTTTTTGAAGAGCAACCTAAGAGGAGATACATGGAGACCTATTGCAAAAGTGTTTCTCAATAGCAGACCAATTAGAATCATGCATGATCCATTATGTCAATGCACTTCATTGTTTGGGTTAAATTTGTGTAAATTTTAGACCCGTACAGGGAGCCGCAAAGGAAATGATAAAACTGAAACACTAGCTCTGTAAATTTATATTTTATTTTGATTCCATTATTTGCATATTGCAGCCATCCATAATAGACACTGTGCGTTAAATACACTGCCACATGTATGGCTTAAAACTAACATTCATCACCCTCATCACCATCCCCAGGGTCAAATAGGGACGATGGCATCATGCTACGGTCTTGCTTTTCTTTAGCAGGGACAGGAAAGAGTCTCAGAGTTAAAGGGGAGGTGGATTTTATCAATAGAACCGCATATCATTTTGCTTCACTTCAGAGTTGTGTGGGTCTTTCAGTAAAATGTCCAAAAGAAAATCAAGTGTGTTGTAAAAAATACTTTGGACAGCCAATGTATTTTTACAACACATATTTATTTTGCAAGCATGTTGTTATAAAGTGCAGGGGAAAATATAGAGCTATATTTTTCATTGCCGTTTGGGAACTGAAATGCTGAAATTCCAATGGACAGTTTGGCTTTTCAAATATTATTTCTTTTAACTTAACAAATTATTTTCAGAGTGCTGCAATTCATATGATATTTAACTTGGAAATTCTCTGTGTATACATGAACATAAGCCAAAATTGAAATAACCCAGGCCAGTTGTATCTATCAAATCAGTCTCACCATGTCACAAACTGCCCTGTTCCCATCCATAAAAGTGAAAGTGCCAAACGCTTGGGTGCATAGTTAATGGTGCATCGTTATAATGCTCAATTTTTACGTGACCGTGCAACACAATGAGTTCCAAGTCGCAAAACAGTGCTCGACATCTTGTGCGTAAACCGACGACACACAAACATACGATGATGATCCTTTGAAGAGAGGAGGCAAAAAAATATTCCACATCTGGAGACCATCCACCACTTTTCCACACCAGACTTTTAATGTAAGAGTGGCTCCGAGCGGTTTTAGCACTAGTGAAACAAAGGAGCAACAGCACGGTGCATGAGTGTGGAAAAGTCGGAGGGCAAATGGATCAGTTTTTAAATTAAAATATTTTATGTTAAGGTTAAAGGGTAGGTATGTTATTTTCTCTGCAGGGTACGACGAGGCGATCTGTGGAACATTTGCGTTTTGAGACTTTTGTACACAAAGTTGAATCTTTCGATCAATAGATTTTTGGCACAGCTCTACTGCGTGTGTTCCTTGCATTTCACCCATCCTACAATAGCACAGCCGCAGGGACCCATCTCCAGATGTTGATGCTCGGCTTGGTCAGGGATATCAGAGCTGAAAGATTTTACATATAGTGTATGTGGGTGGTGGGGGAAACCGGAGTACTCAGAGGAAACTCACCCAGACACGGGAAGAAAAATGTAAACTAAACCCTTATAAGGCCCAGACCTGGACCTGGGCATGGGAATCCAGCCCCTAACCTTTTTGCTTTACCCTGAGAAATATCCACTTTTCCACACCAGACTTTTAATGGAAGAGTGGCTCCGAGCAGTTTTAGCACTAGTGAAACAAAGGAGCAAAAACACGGTGCATGGGTATGGAAAAGTTGGAGGGCAAGTGGAGCGGTTTTCAAATTAAAATATTATAGTTTTCAAATAGTTAAGGTTAAAGGTAGAGGTATGCTGTTGTCTCTGAAGGGGAGGATTAGGCGATCTGTGGAAAATGTGTCTCAATATTTTTGTGTACGTTGAAAATCAAGTTTGGGCAAAGTTGCCTTTTTTAGTACTGCCATTGTAGCACAGCCACAGGAACCCATCTCCAGATGCTCGGCTTGGTCTGGGCTACCAGAGCTGAAAGATTTGATATGGTGCAAATAGGTACTCTCCCCATGTCTGTTACCCAGAGGGCATTCATTTCAATTCAATTCAATGTATTCTTGTAAAGCCCTAAATCCCAACAGTAGTTACTGTATCTCTGGGAACTTTAGAAAACCGTTGAATTCTCCAACACGGATCAGAGAATAAAACAGTTCAAACACAAGAAATACAATAACAAAAAATAACAAAACATAGAGCCATTGGTCCATAAGAGACAGATGACCAATGTCCCTAAATGTAATAATTGTCGTTCAATGTCGCGTGTCCTGGATCCTCACCACTATAAACTCCACACAGAAAGGCCCGGACCAGTGCGGGAATCCAACTCGTAACCTTCTTGCTTTACCCTGAGAAATACCCGTTTAGCCACCATGCAACCGTGGAAATTGAAAACATTGAAAATAACACCCCAAGAAACAGTATTTTTTTAAACCAAAATGTGTAGAGCTTTTACATTTCTACCTCTGCGTGACACATCTCTTTCAAAGCCTCAGCTCTCTCCCACGTTAAAGATGCTTAATCGCGCAGATGCGTAAACAGAGCCCTGTCCACACACATACTCTGCTGCTATCGCGTGAGTGAGTAATAGTTTGTACCTGTGTGAGTGTTTGAAGAGAGCAGGGTTTCCACGCTCAGCAGCCTACAACAGAGCAACTGGCCGAGGGCTAATAGTCAGAGATTGTGCTTGCGTGGTTCTCTTTTGCATGCTTCATGTTTCACAGAGCCGTGTGTTTAAGATAGAACTGATATTTTAGGCCTGACCCCATGTTGCCGCTTTGTACTTGACTGAGGTAGAGGCCACAATCACGCAGCTTTCAGCAAGGACAGGACAGATGTGCCACTTCTCCTGCAGTAGCCCCAAATAACAGCAGCTCTCAACAGTAAACTGCACATAAACACAAACGTCTAAAACATCTGAATTAGTATTAGCCATTTGTATTCATGTTCACAACTTAAACTAGTCTGATCCCAAACGAGCAGTGATTTGCACTGTGATGTGACTATTCATCCGTCTTTCTACATGCAGTTTTTATCCAGGCTTGGGGCAGCAGTGTCTCAGTTGTCAATTTCAGCAAGACGGGTAATCTTTTATGAATTGCTATTTCTGTCTGTATTTTTACAGTGTGCGCCTTTAAGACCAACTTAACTAACAATATATAGAGATTTTACATTAGCAGTTTTTCTCAGATTTTACATTATCCATTGGATCTTTCCTGAAGTTATATCCAGGCTATATCAACCAAACGTACCTCAGCTTGTGACCCTTTGATGCAGTATTTTATATCCTCAGCATTGCTACGGGTAATAAGACTCACATTGTCCTGACAAAAAGGGCATCTGTTGCTGATATGGAGGCTTTATAAAAGACTTACACATGTGCAGAGCTTTGATATGCAATGACTCTTTCTCTGTGCCAGGTGGAAGGACACAGGAAGTTCTGCTCTGGTGAAGTGACTATAGTGACCTACTAACACAGCTGCAGCCGCCCCACTCACCTTCACCGCTTTCTGCTAACTTACACATGACACACAGGTATACTGCAGTCATGTCTAAAGTCACTACAATACTATACATAGAAAGCATAGTTCCCCTTTGGCTTGGTCCCCTAGTGGGTCTGTTCAGCACATTTCTTATACAGTTTGCCATCACAGCAATTTTTTTTTCCATAGGAGCTATTTTTATAACATTTGCATCACAAAAGAAGGTGGGGCAAACTTGAAGAGGGGGAGTGGTCTAGATAAAAAGCTGCAGAGATGCACATCAAAGTGGACTGTTCAAAGCCAAAGTCGGCAGGATGTTTGATATTTTGGTAGCATTAGGGGGCGCTGGCACGGGTTCACCGGTCAGGGGGCGAACATGGGGTGTCTGCATGAGGGGTATGGAGAGCAGGTCTGAGCCCAACTTCTATTTTTGGAGCTTTGAAGATAAAGATGGACTGTTCTCTACTGTGTTCTTTGGCCAATGAGCCTTCCTGGATATCACAGATTTACTAGAAAGACCAGGATGTGCAGAGACTAGCAGTGCTCAGCTCACACCTGGATAAGCAGCATAAAATAGTGACATTTAGTTTCACTCTTTAGAATGACACAGAACTGCTGCATTATATGTTTAAAAGGGATAATAGCCATATAGTAACACAGAATATCGTGTCATGAAGGACATGTACCCGGTTTCCTTCATGATGAGCACTTTTTTTGTATGAAGTGTGTATATAGCAATGGTGTGGTATGTATATGTCTTACTTGTTATCTGTCAAAATACATATATTTATCATCTGGTTTTATAAAGGAGCTTACTGTGACATTCAAACTAACAGCATGTTTTACACCAAGAATGGATTTCAACAATGCTTCACACACTTTTGTAGACAAACTCGTTCATTGGAATTACTATCACATCCTTTTCATCGCAGAAATTAATGTTTCTATTCAGGGCAGATCGAACATCCTGAGCGACTATCAGAGGGGAACAGCGAACAAAAAGAAAAGTTGAGACGACTTGTGTTATGTTGGGTGTTTACACTTAGATATTCTGGTACTGTACCGTTTTTCAATTTTTGCCATCTCTGAGTGTGGACCATCACTTCTATAATGTGCGATTAAGATGCCAAGAATGTATGACAAATTAAGGAATATCTTCGGACTGCTGCAACTGAACAACTGATTAGAGGATGTATTGTCCAAAGTCTGACGATGCAATAAAACTGAACATTGCACCCATTTTGTCATTACTGGATAAACCTTTATATTTACACCACCCATGTCTTTTCGTGAGTGTGTAAACATGAGATTGTCCCACCACACAGACAGACTCAGGCCACACACGCTCTCGGAGGTTCACCTCTGTCCTTCAACCACACGCCTTTATTTATTATGACATGTGCAGCTTCACAAACACACACACGTTATCTGTCATGTGTGCAGCTGCAGTGAAGAGTAGCCTGCTGTGCTCTCCAGGGTTTCCTAGAGTCTGTTTGTCTGGGACCATCTTACAGTATATTACAACTCTTCATTATTTCTACTACGTAAAGATGAATGAAGTGGTGAACAGTTAGATGACTAAGTGCGCAGCAACAGACTACATTATTAATCATTTTATGTTTATTTTTCCTATGCCAAGAATGAAAGTAGAGCAAGATGATTTCACAATTTGTATTGATAAATCTGTATAATATTAATCTTTATTTCAGACATTCAATTGGTCCATATTAAAAGAATAGGAATCTAAAGAAATATATAACAAGCCCCACAAAAGGTTGTTGAAAGATTTCACACTATCATATTGGACAAGATTATGTTTCCTCTCTTTTAGAACTGACTCTAAATTCACAATCACAAAAGATGACAACGTCTTACAATTTTGTGGCACTGGCACATTACCTCCAGGACTCCATGAAATGTCGTGATACCATCTGAAATACTGATCACTGTGATCCCTTGTTTGCCCTTGTTTAGAGAATACATATGGTATGATTGATATATGAATTTACCATAATCATCGATTCATGATACATCACAAAAAGCAAACTTTTTTCCTGCTGCTCAGCACAGCGAGCCCTGCCACCACCATCACATGTGGGAGACACTGCACCTCGTCCTGATTACCCCCCTTCTTTTTCAAACCCTGCTCTATCCACTGTATTTCTATTTATAGCACCAAGGTCACTTACAGAGATCAGGGGGACACATGGAACCAAGTGAAGGGAACAGACGAGTAGCTCTGTCCTCTGCAGATGATGAAGCCTGCAAAGCAAAATAATGTCAGTGTTTACTCAGTGTGACGGTGACTTTTGCTCCTTATCTTAAATATATGCAATAAGCCATATTACCTTTCTGCTCTGGTTGATCCTCAGATCCTGGTTTGAACTTTTTCTTGAGTCATGACGACTGCTGAATATCAAATAATATGGTTAGGTTTTACCATTATACACTTAAATGTAAAAAAAAATATAAAGACAATGACAACATTTTGGGAGAAAGCCAAACAAAATTGTTACTTAAAAGGCTGCTTTTATGTTCTCAGTGATAGGGTCTGAGACAATCTAGTAAGTAGAGCTCATTGTGCACATTGATAATGAGACATTGATAGAAGTGAAGATTCATGGTGCCAATGTTGAGATGGTCGATGACTTCAAATACTTGGCACATACATACTGTAGATGGGAGACTTGCCTTTTCTACGAACACAGACTTCATTTTTAAGAAATGCTCACAGCGACTGTATCTGCTTCGCAAACAGAATAATTTTGGTGTGAGTCGTTCTATCCTTGAGACGGTCTACAAGAGCCTGGTGGAGAGCATCCTCACCTTTAACATGCTGATGTGGTTTGGCAACCTCAGCATGAAGAACCAAAACAAACTCCAAAGGATCGTGAACCAGAGCTCGAAGATCATTGGGCAGCCACAAAGATATCTCCAGTGTTTGTTCGAGGAGCGCTTGGGAAAGAAGGCTGAGCTCATCATTAAAGATGCTTCCCATCCGCTAAACCCAAAGTTTGAACTTCTGCCGTCAGGACGGAGATATCGAGTGATATCAGCTAAGAAAAACATTTTTAAAAACTCCTTTGTGCCCAGAGCAGTGAAAGCGGTAAACACTCTTAAGCTTTGAGCAGTCCTGAGGTTGACTCTTGTCTTTAGGCCGGAGGTGGCCTTGTTGGTTTGTTCTTCAAATTGTTCTGTGAATGTAGTGCCACATGATATTGTGCTGGATGTGTGTCTTTTATGTATTTTAAGGTGATAACCAAAGACAATTTTCCACCTTGGTGGACAATAAACTTTTCTTATTCTTATTATTATTCTTATTGTTTAGCGCCTTTAACAGACCAGAGTCACAAAGCGCTTTACAGTTGTTGTGGCATTTGTCTCTCACGCCACACATTTTTTTAATTCAAAGATTACAACATTGAGAGCTCAGGAAAATGTCGATGTGGTTTCCCGACATTTGCTCCGCTGCATTACAAGCGGTGTCAAGTTCATTACCAAGCTCTTTAATAATAAAAAAAATAAATCTTGATTCAAAGCGAGCAGATCTTAGCGGTTATCAGATTTATATAGTGATGCTTTTAAAATGCTTTGACTTACATAACAGTTAATGAAATAGGACAGTGGTGTGTCCTAATCTTGCTGCCCTCAGAGCCACCCTGTAGCTCCATTAACGCATTAAACTTGTTTTCTGGGTCATCACTCTTTCTTCAACAAACTGTCCTTTTAAGTCCCCTCACCGGCACTGTCAAGAGCACACTCAGACAGATGAGACACTAACCTCTTTCTGTCACAAGGACTTAATCAGCAAGAGAGAGAGAGGGGAAGCAGGAGGATGCAGGAAAACCAAAAGCATCCAGCCACACCTCGCACTAATGTCTCCATTACTTTGCACACAATAAATATTTCCTATGTATCCCATTATTTTGTGATTTATTTATAGCAATCAGCATAGATTACAACTCTTAGTGGACAATCCAATACAGTTTAAAGTACAGTTTAAAGAGATAAAAGTGATAGTTTTCTGTAATAAAAATGTATACTAAATTGAGACTAACAAAATGATTAGAGTAACTGTAGACCCCTCCCCTCAACGTACCTTTGAATATGCACTTTTCAGTTTGCATACGTCCCCCCGGGATTTAACCATCAACACAAAACATGTGCCATAATCATCCAGCTGGAGCATTGTAGAAAGGCCATTTTTCTTGCAGGGGACCAATAAAAAATTAAAATGTATAAATTCTTACTCTGCTATATTTGCTTAAAATAGGGGCATAACAATGTCACTTCTATTTTCACAAGCATTCAGTATATCTGAGAAGTAGGATAAAGCCTCAGAGGCTCCTTCTAGTCTCACTCCTACATCAAATAGTTTGTTCATGCAAAAAATGTCTGCAAGCAAAATTATCCTTAATGTTTTCTACCGCTCCAGCTTCTTTGCAGAGAACATATCCTGTCCACTAAATCCAGAAGACAAACCGAGGAAAAAAACCAAAGGCAAATCATGCGTAATTCAGTTTCTTACCAGGCCAGACATAGACCAGGCATCTTCAGCCTAAATGGAACAGAATGACGGACGACATTTTAGCCTTAGTTTCTACAATCATTATGATGCACCTGTCTTATTGAAAACAGGTGCATCTTTCAGATGAATGCAATTATTCGATAGGGGCTCCTGCTTGTAGGGATAGCGTGGTAACAGAACTCCAAAGGCACAGCTACAGCATGACACACAATCAGCACTTGGAAGCTTGTGAAGAGCCCACTCACCACATGCTTGAGCGGTCATTGCAACATTCTTATCTGGGTTGTTACTCAATAAATGGGATTCCAATAAAGGTTGTGGTGACACATACAACACATTTGTTTCTAATAATAGATGTCTTTGAGAATTGGGAAAAGAGTTCTATCAGTGACAGTAAAGAATAACTGCTGGCAATATTTGCACATTTTCTTAAAGCATTAAAGGATGTTTGAGGTGAACTATTGTAGTTTTCTAGTGCTCGAGCTATGACCAAGTAATTCAACCATCAATTAAACAGTACACTTTTAAGAGGAATAGCGTGAAAAAAGTGCACGTCATGATTACATCCCAACAGTTTTTGTTTTTGTTTCTAAATATCAAAAATTGTTTCTCAACATCAAAAAATGTTTCTCAACATCAACAATTGTTTCTCAAGATTGAATGCAGTGACTTTAAATTCGCAGGTCTCTCTTTTTAGCTAAAGCAGTTGTTACTTGTAGCTCCAACTGGCATTTAGGTCATGCACATTCACACATTCATGGAGTCATCATGTCATCTACCCACCAATACAGTATATCTAAAGGCCAGTGAGTGATGGATACTTCTCTGAAATTTCACAGACGGCTTTGTGCAGACATACACTTGTGTTTCTGACTACACTGTGGATTCCCCTGCCAGTTCGACTCTAATATGCTGAGCCCGTTGTAGGATCACAGTAAACAGATGGCATGATCCAGATAGTGGTTGTGACAAATAGAAAGGACCAGCTGCCTCCTCCTCTGGGCACCAGTTATCACAGAGAACAAGATGAGAAGGCATCGGCGATGACAACACCAACCTGGGAAATAAACGGCATATGTCAGAGGCAGTGGAAGGTCGATTATGCTTCTCTTGATTTCGTCTGTCTCTGTCCACCTGAGAAAAGAGAAACACCATTTGATCCTATTTTGTTTACTTATTTATCCAAGAATCTGGGACTGTACCATCTTTTTTATAGCCTTTTTCATTTCTTTCCGTTTTTTGCAGTAAGCCTCCCAAGACTCCTCAGTGAAGCCATAGTTGAAGTAATCTGTAATGTTTGCACCTATAGAGATTGAAAGAGGATTAGTAAGATGTATTGCACTTTCAATCAGTGTGACTCACAGACTTCACAGTAGAATCCTTCAGAAGATTATTGTCAAGTTCAAAGATGAATGAAAATGCTGTGTATCCCACATTAAAGAGAAGGATTGCTGTCCATATGCTTCAAAAGTTAGATTAAGTTTGGCCCGCTCCATTTGACCCATCCTTCAGTGGTCACAACACATGAACATGAACATGAAGCTGATCCCGCGGGCATATTTGATGCCATGGGGCTCACTTTGCACAGAAGCAAACAACATAATAACAGTTCATGCCAATGATAAAAGAGTGATGTTGACGTCGACTATTGAAGTTGAAGTGACCTATTTCTATATCAGTATTTGCATATTTTGGGTCGTTTTAGGAAAATTAAAAAGCTCAACAAGCGTGTGTAGTTCTCTGTACCAGGCTTACTGACCCATTTATCTCACCAGGGTTTCTCCATGGCTTTCCAACGGGTGATTCTGTTATATCCGTGTCCCTCTTTCTGCACTCTTCTATATCCTTCAGTATTGTGGCTTCTTTTTCCTGACCACACTCTTTTGCTATGTCATCCATGTCACGCTGCACAACTGTTAACATCAAATACATCCGATCAAATCACACAATTCAATTGTGAATGCCAGACTATGATGTGCATGACACATAATTCATCAATTACAGACAATTATGCCAAGACGGTATATGTTGCATTGGAAAAATATATTTTTTATTAAATATATAATTATTATTGCTATATTTTAAAAGCTCTATTCAATGCATCCAACTGTGTTCTAATCTGAACTGAATATTTTCCTTTTTGCATGTTGAACATAGATAATAATAATGGCTAGTTAACTACGGACAGAGTATAAAGCCAGTGGATCTAGGCTGAAGTGATAAAAGCCATAAAAGGGTAGTGGTTTGACTTTGTTCGTTGTTCATATTATGAACAGCATTTGGCAAAAATTTAAGGCTAAGATTTTTTAATACATGTGTGGGTCAGTTATGTTTCAGTAAAGCCATAACAGTTCATAGATGTACTGGCGGTAAAACAAAAAAAGTTAGTAACAAAACTTTGGAAGAATTCTGGATTGAGCATTTTTTGTGCATAAAATCTGGGACTAGCTGATGATTAAAGTGGTAACTATTGGACTGTTGAGCATTATTATTATTCTGTAGTTAATGCCATGTGAATGTGTGAGTCTGATCCCACAAGATAATCAGGGCAGGCCCTGTACAGAACTCTGATGGGAGACTCTGGTTGCTTAATGTGGCAAGACGCTTAACCCACATTTTATATTATGCATCTTGTGTGTGTTTGTGATGATTGGTGGTGGTCGGAAGGGCAGGTGGCACAGATTGGTAGCCTTGCTTCTTCTTCTCACAGGGCAGCTGTGGTAGTAGCCCATCACAACCACCATAAACAAAGTATATGTCTGAAAAAAGCTACATAAAACCAATGCAATTTAATGAATTATTATCATGATTGCAATGTAAGCAGGGCAGAGAGTGTTGCACATAGACACTGACAACAATTGGATTATTCAGAATTACTTCGACTGAGCCGTTAACTAACTGTAGCGTTTGTCATCCAGAAAAAAAAATCATATTACTCAACGAGCATTCTAAGACCACGTTAACAACAAGAAGCACGATTCGGACATGCAAGGGTTAACGTTAAGGTAAGTAGTATTGACAGTGTTTTGGTTTTGTTTCATTCAATCATTCTCATAAAGGATTGCAGATTAACATTATACCTCTCCCCGTCTCCGCTCTGGATGCTGCTGTCATAGCAACGAGTGACGTATTTTTTCCGCGACGCACTACTGCCACGTCACCTTTGCGAGACTCGTGTGTTTGTTTTGCTCATAGACTGTATTGTTTTGCTCCAACTTCATGACATTTCTTCTAACATATTTGATTCAACCATAATCCGGATATTGACACATATATAGCAATGCTGACTGCGGAAGATTACTCGCAGTTTTCGCTGCAAACATGGGGAAAGGTCTTCTCGAAGGTAAAGAAAGCGGTTGTTTTCATGGATAACAAGTGCGCCGAGGCTCTCCATTGGTGCGGGGGTGCTGCATCACTATTCGATGCTGGAGCAAAAAACGTCAAGCAGTTTTCAAGCTTTGAAGCGTGTAGTACCCATGAACCCAAGGCTGTATTCGTGGTGAGCACGCTGCTAAAAGGCAGAACAGTCGACATCATAAAGGATATTATATCTCTGAGCCACTTTCAATATTGTGTCGTGATCACGACTGTTGCGCACTCCGTGCATCTGATCGCCAACAATGTCACTGCAGAAATGGAAGGGAATCCAGTGTTTGAGCAATTTGAGGTAAAGCTGTGTGAGTGGATGGGCAACATGAACTACACAGCTGAAGTAGTCCACATCCCTGTTGTCTTTGCACCTGTCTCACGCCATCTTATCCTCACTCCAGCGTTTGCCCATGTGTTTCCCCTTATTTCCCCTGATCTGGACTCTATCAATTCAAAACGTCCAGAGAAGAAGAGATTTGGGAGCCTAGTTGATCTCGACATGAGTTCTCTCCCAGCTGAACTGCAAATTGAAATAAAAAACTTGACCTCAGTTCTGAACTCCATGTTTGAAACAACTGGAACTAGGGAAGAGAGTTTTGCAGTAGGTCCTATGAGTCGTATAATTGCTGGAGATTTATCTAATCACCCACAAGCCAAAAATAGGAGGAAGACCGCACAGAATAAAGCTTCAGTCATATTTATCGACAGGACAATGGACCTTACAGGTAACTTCCAAAGCCTGTATTAAAGCTGCTGACATATTTCAGTGAATATTTAGACACTTGTTTTTTTATCCTCAGGGGCTGTTGGCCATCATGGGGACAATCTGGTGGAGAAGATTCTAACTGTACTGAAGCCCTTACCTGGTCATGTGACAGATGTGCATGTGGACATGTTGGAGCTGACAACTCTACAGCGCAGCCCTCAAACCCAGAACATCTTGGCACCTGGCTGTTTAGCACAAGCAGAGTAAGTGCATGTGATGGTAGCCTGGTCTTACCACACTGTTGTACTCATTTCATTCTGTACTAAGGTCTGGATTTGCTCCATTGAGCTCCGTTAACTCCTTTTGCAGATTTAAATGGTTGGATCTGAGTTTGCCGTGACGTATGTAATGCGCCCAACTAAGTAAGGCATTTAGCCTAACCATCTCCTTTGCCCCTAACTGAGCCTGTAAAGCCACAACATCTTTGCCAGCAATGAATCTTGGTAAACATTCCTCTTGCTCCAGCTTCAATTTCTTGATATTTGGGTGCCGAATCAGAACAGATTACTTTACTAACGCATTCGCCTCCAATGCCAAATTACAGCCACCTACCTACAACACCCGCCCCCCCTGCTTGCTGAAAAGTTGGATGGGATTCAACCACTGCGGTCGGTTCCTCAGCATGTGCACTGACATGCTTGCAATCTCCCGGCCGGTGCGGGTAGACCCGGAACGAGATGCTTTTTTTATGCCGTCGTCTTCCCTCTTGAAAACGGCTTAACAAGATGTTCCAAAAGTTGTCTATTGGCCCAACACTACATTCCAGATACTGTCAATGCTAAGGGGATTTCTTTTTTTTTTTTTTTGGACAAGTCTAGTTTAGCTGCTGTGGACTTTTGAATGCACTTGTTAAAATGAATGGGGTTAATACAGGCTAGCAATTTTCACATTTTACTGCTCCACGGCCATTTTGAAAAAGCTCACAGAAGGCAAAAATGGTGGCACATTAGTTTCAACGGCGGAGATAGGCGTGAGTACGTTCGTTAAAGCTGCACTAATTGACTTTGAGACAGGGCTGGACTGGGACAAAAAACGGCCCGGGCATTTTTTCCTTTTTAGCGGCCCAGGCAACTCAAAAGGTTCAAGGAGCCATATTTGACAAAAAAAAAAAAACAGCGTTGTATAAGGCTTATATGAAGGTAACAGGGTCTGAAGCTGTATTAGCTACATTAGCTACATTAGCTACCTTAGCTACATTAGCTATATTAGCTATATTAGCTATATTAGACTAATATCTAAATGACAAAGTAAAGGCTACAAACACATAAAAACCATTCATGATTATCAAATGTGTATTTTCATTGCAGCGTGTCCTGGAGAGAATGACGCACCACGTGACAACTCTGCTTTAAGTTTAACTTTTTTTGCCTTCATGCAATTGTACAAATACAGTAAATACATCTGCTTTTTGGCTCAGTTCACCTGCGTCACTGTCTGTTCATATCGATCACATCACAGGCTGAAGTTTGCTGGAGCTGAATGTCCTTAATGGCCTTTTCTTTCACCGTCTCTGTGAAGGTATTTGAAGTCTGAAAATAGGTGCTCTGACTTTATGATGAATGAATCTTTCAGTGAACGGTGTTTAAAGCTTCATTGTTCATTATTGTTTTCATTACATCGCAAACATGAAGCAGTCCTTCCTCATTGACTGAAAGCAAAAGTTCATTCTCATTCTTAGTCCAGTCTTATCGACTCTTTCTCTCTGTATCTTTGGGATCCATGCACACTCACAGTCTATAATGCACACACGCCGGTTTGTTTACAGCAGCAGCCGCCTGGCACGGGCCGCGTCACAGGATATGACGCACTACGTACAGAAATGCTAAAATTGAATATTACTTATACAAGTTTTTGCAGCATTGAAAAACGTTAAGAATGTTTTTCCTCCTACAAAAACCACATTGAAACTAGAAATAAAATATAGCCCTCACACTCTGTTTTCAGACATTTTTGAAAAGGCTCCAGGAGCCACTTTAGGGGCACTAAAGGTTGCCGACCCCTGGTTTATACAGTATGTGGAAGCAAATACTGTAGAGGATCAGGATGTCTGCAGTTTCAACAATAACATAAAGTACAATAGTCTACATTAAACAGAGTAATAAACATGTCTCAGAGTGAGGGAGGTGGGCACAGACAACACTATTGTTTGTTACAGGGATGAGAATTGGTCAAAAATATCTGAAATGCATAATGTCAGTCATTAGCTGGCTCTAAATCTGTTTAATCTGTTCACAACATTTTACTTTTGGGCTCAAACATGAACTTTTGATGCAATGGAAAATTTAGGTACCCGAGCTTTAATTTTGAGGAGAGGGGAGACGCGGACTGTTTTTTGCAGCGGTGTATTTATTGGGTGCACAAATTACGCAAATACACGCATGGTCCTGTGCACGTTTATGGTCTTGGGTACATGGTCACGTTGCAGCTACGCGCTCACCGTGTTGTGTTGTGAGCGGTTCCCGGTGAGCGGTTCCTGCGTCCAGCTCAGAGCCGCTGGATGCGGGAACACTGCGGCCGCTGAGGCGGTGGAATCCCGTTCGAGTACATACAGCAGGTGCCCCGCGGACACGCGCGCTCCCCTCAGACATTTCTCAACGGATTTACACTTCTCACAAACATGTTTTTTTGTATGAGGCAGACAGACCGGCCCAAATATGGGCATCGGCCCTTCGGGCATTGCCCGGTACGCCCGATGGCCAGTCCAGCCCTGCTTTGAGAAATGTTCGAATGAGAGCGACGAGCTCGCTCTTTTTGCTCGCCCTCCCCGCACGGAGCTTTCGCCCCCCACTACCCTCCTCCCCCTCAGCCTGCGCTCACGTGCTACATGCTACGCTATGTATACGGAGCTCACGTCTCACAATATGGAAGCGCCGAGGAACGAGACTTTCTTTTGGATGGCTGTTTCGCTGTGTAAGCAGTAACCAGTAACGAAGACACGGGAAGTTTCAGGTTAGCCTCTGCTGCTTGTTTACCTCAGCTGTCTGTGCAAACGAGAGACCTGTGGCTTTTCTCAAGAAAGTGGGGGCCAGTGGTCCGCTGTGATTGGTCACAATCTGGACCCGAAACACTTTCTCTTCCTTGTTGCATCAAAACTTGATCTAAAATAAAATGACACGCCAGCACAAATCTGCGGTACTTTTTTTTCAAAAGGACGTATATCCCAATGCACTACATAGATATGGATTGCATTTTTGTAGTGAATACAGTGCCTTGCGAAAGTATTCAGCCCCCTTGAACCTTTCAACATTTCGCCACATTTCAGGCTTCAAACTTAAAGATAAAAAAAAAAATTGTCAAGAATCAACAACAAGTGGGACACAATCGTGAAGTGGAACAAAATTTATTGGATAATTTAAACTTTTTTAACAAATAAAAAACTGAAAAGTGGGGCGTGCAATATTATTCGGCCCCCTTGCGCTAATACTTTGTAGCGCCACCTTTTTCTGCAATTACAGCTGCAAGTCGCTTGGGGTATGTCTCTATCAGTTTTGCACATCGAGAGACTGGAATTCTTGCCCATTCTTCCTTGCAAAACAGCTCAAGCTCAGTGAGGTTGGATTGAGAGCGTTTGTGAACAGCGGTCTTCAGCTCTTTCCACAGATTCTCGATTGGATTCAGGTCTGGACTTTGACTTGGCCATTCTAACACCTGGATACGTCTATTTGTGAACCATTCCATTGTAGATTTGGCTTTATGTTTTGGATCATTGGCCTGTTGGAAGATAAATTTCCGTCCCAGTCTCAGGTCTTTTGCAGACTCCAACAGGTTTTCTTCCAGAATGGTCCTGTATTTGGCTCCATCCATCTTCCCATCAATTTTAGCCATCTTCCCTGTCCCTGCTGAAGAAAAGCAGGCCCAAACCATGATGCTGCCACCACCATGTTTGACAGTGGGGATGGTGTGTTCAGGGTGATGAGCTGTGTTGCTTTTACGCCAAACATATCGTTTTGCATTGTGGCCAAAAAGTTCGATTTTGGTTTCATCTGACCAGAGCACCTTCTTCCACATGTTTGGTGTGTCTCCCAGGTGGCTTGTGGCAAACTTTAAACGAGACTTTTTATGGATATCTTTGAGAAATGGCTTTCTTCTTGCCACTCTTCCATAAAGGCCAGATTTGTGCAGTGCACGACTGATTGTTGTCCTATGGACAGACTCTCCCACCTCAGCTGTAGTTATTTGCAGTTCATCCAGAGTGATCATGGGCCTCTTGGCTGCATCTCTGATCAGTCTTCTCCTTGTTTGAGATGAAAGTTTGGAGGGACGGCCGGGTCTTGGTAGATTTGCAGTGGTCTGATACTCCTTCCATTTCAATATAATTGCTTGCACAGTGCTCCTTGAGATGTTTAAAACTTGGGAAATCTTTTTGTATCCAAATCTGGCTTTAAACTTCTCCACAACAGTATCTCGGACCTGCCTGGTGTGTTCCTTTGTCTTCATGGTTCTCTCTGCGCTTTAAACAGAACCCTGAGACTATCAAAGAGCAGGTGCATTTATACGGAGACTTGATTACACACAGGTGCATTCTATTTACCATAATAAGTAATTTAGGACAACATTGGATCATTCAAAGATCCTCACTGAACTTCTGGAGTGAGTTTGCTGCACTGAAAGTAAAGGGGCCGAATAATATTGCACGTCCCACTTTTCAGTTTTTTATTTGTTAAAAAAGTTTAAATTATCCAATTCATTTTGTTCCACTTCACGATTGTGTCCCACTTGTTGATTCATGACAAAACATTTAAATTTTATATCTTTATGTTTGAAGCCTGAAATGTGGCAAAATGTTGAAAGGTTCAAGGGGGGGGAATACTTTCGCAAGGCACTGTATTACATCGACAAACTCTGAAATATTGTTTCCACCAGCTCCTTAGAATAATGTGCTGAAATTCTGGTGAATCAAAGTATTGGTTTCCAGTCCTTTATGTAGCCTCCACCACTCCTCCATCGATTGGGTTGATTGGGGAAATCTGATTGAGAAGGTTGAGGCACTTTGTCACAACAAACATGTGGGAGAATGGAAGTGTTTGGCTTCATCAGGTTACAGTTGTTTAAAATTGCAAGTACAGCTGACCTCTGCAGCAACAGCGCAGGCTGCACATCTATTGAGTATGCATGTATATGTCAACACATACAACAACAGTATATATCGAGTATAGTATAGGATAGTAGTAGTATAGTATAGTATATATCAGTATATATCGAC